TTAAGAAACCACGACGGCGACGCCAAGGAAGACTTCGATTAAAAAATGAATTTCTACTCTTAGTTAGAATTTCAAAAATGGCTGCAGGAGCTTACTGTCTCATACAGCGCCACAGCTCAACTTCAGCATGACGTATAAAGTAGCCGTTGAGTTCCAAATGGAAATTAAAATAATTTGCCGTCGCGGTTTCGGTTCGCAGACGACGCAAATTTTGGCGATTTCACGTTGTTGTTCTGCATACGACGGCTAAGAAGTGTACAAAGTTTCAAAACGCACGTGCTGAGCTATTGCTCTGCCAATCAGATCTCTTGTTTTTCCACGTCCTTGTTGCCGTCGCCGTCGTGGTTTCTTAAGGTCCCTATTAGAGGAAGAATAGTGGGCTTCCTTACATTTTCCAGAGAGCTGGTAAGGTGTAATTTTTGTAACTTATTACTTCATCGTTACCTCCACGAATTCATTTCTGTCGCCACACTTTCTTGAAAGAAAATTAATTTATTGTGAATTAAGAAAAGACATAGTGTATGTAAACTTGTGATGATTTATTTGTTAAACGTCTTGTTGTGACGATCTGTTTGTAGGTTATCTTTGTTGGAAGCTAATACCAGACAAAGGTATTCTTTTGAGAGAAAGAGTCTTTCATCTAGAAGTATACAGAATGGGAATTTGATTCAGCTTTGTGACGCTTTTCAGGCTGGTATGAGTATTGATAATGAAAGATGAAATTGTGGTCGTCTGTATTGTAAGATTGTCTAATTCAGTGGTGTTATACGTTATTAGATATCTTTCATCTATTCCCGAAGCTCTACCCACTGTTTGTGTCTTTCTAGGTCGGTTGCAGTTAGAATCACTTCCTCATTCAGTTGTGGTGCATCTGTTACCCTTCTTTAAATTGCTTGGCTCTGTTCTGGACAATTGTATCCATCAAGGAGAAACCTTCAGTGACAACGACTACTGGATGGTAAAATCTTTTGTTAATTAAACCCAACAAAACAGCCCTGTTGATTCTACGAAATGTCTAACAGTAAAAAAAACTCACTTACAGCAGTGGTATTATTCAGTCAATCTGCATTGTATTTCCTCACCACAGTTGATTCTCTCCTAATATGTATTTTGTAACAGGCTGTCAATTAAGGGAGGGGGAGGGAGGAGGGCCCAAATCTCGTTTCACGCACGCATCACGCACGCATCACGTGAACTTGAAACGGTATTTCACGCGTCACGAGTTTGAAACGAAAGACTTCAAATCTCACCTTAGCCTGCCTTTCTGTAAGATTCACGCGTCACGAATTAACTTTGGACTTAATTACGTGTCTCATATAAAGCCCTTACCACCCTCTTGCACTAGCCACCGTTTATTGAGACGGGTCTTAAGATGATCATAACGTGCAATAATCGTTAAGCGTAGGCTCCATACTCACCTCGACCGTGACAACTTTGACTATAATTAAAACTGGATTATAGCGGCACAATCTCATATGCTAGATGTCTACGATGATATCCCTCTGTTATTGAAGTGTGTACTTAGCTCTGTTTCTGGTTCTTTACCCTCTGCCTTACAGCTGCATTGCAAAGTTACTTCTCCCTATTTTACCACAGGTGGTGGAGGGACTTTCTTGGTTGAATAGGTTTTGGACCATGTGCGAGAAACAAACCAGACAGAATTTCTCACTCTCGTTTCTTTCCCTTCATTGGACCTGGGTTGAACAATACACATTGCACTCTCTTCAAACAGCCTTTGGCAAATTTATTGACAGGTAACTGGAGTAACCCAACTATTTTTTTTAGAGGGCGTTGGAGAGTATCACAATTATTTGCAATCACTGGTGTATAAATGATTTACTAGTTCATTTGTGTTCTCTTTTTACAAAGGCAAACAAAACGAAGTTCTGTTTTATGAACTCAAGACATCTTTAATTATTATCAGTACAGATTGATTCTTACCCTTGATTGTTTATACCTTTCTTGATCTATGTATTATTCAGTTAGTGGTTTGAGCGCTCTTTCAATAATTATTGGAAACAATTGATTTTACAGAAGGTACAAAATTTTTCACTATGGACTTGGTTTCCTTAAGCATGTAGCTGTAATGTAAATTTTGAATGAGAGCAAAACTGAATTGCCTGTGTTACATGTAATTTTTTTCTCATTGAACGTATTTTGATATTCCTGCAGAGAATTACCAGGGGAGCTTGTCACAGTTGTGAATCACTTGCAAAAGGTTCTAGCTACAGACAGAAGAGTTCATGAAGCCTACTTGCAAATTCTGGTCGGGTATGGGCATCCTGCACCGTTTAAATCAAGATATGTTTTTGCAGTCTGGGTAAGCTTATCTGGATTCGGTTTATAAATTTGATAATTAACCTTCAGATTATTCAGGCCATACAAATAAGGCGAGCAAGGAGTTAATGACAAGGTATTTATCTACCCGATAGTGGGTGCACCGGAATTTATTCTTTGATCCCTAAGAATGAAAAACACCTAGTTTCTTGAAGGCGGTGTGTATATTTGAAAAATGGATGGTAGATAAGACCAATTGTAATTCACAGCCGGAAAAGTAAAGGACACTCGTAACATGATCTCTTTTGAAGATTGAGGACGGAGAATAGCTTTTATACGAACTACTATTTGATTCCAAGTTAAAAGACCAGTACTACACAGCTATGATTTCGCCCTTAATTAAAGGTATGACAAACTTCTCGAACGTAAGCGGTTTTCACCAGCCCGATTTGAGCACTAAGAGGACAGTGCACGCGTCCTGCTTGTAATTGGACAGTGTCATAGGAAAGTTGACACGTCATGCCTATTCTTCTGACTGTTTAGGAAAAAATGGATAATCTTTGTAAAAGGATCGACAAGTACTGCGACAGATCATGGAAAAGTCGGTCTGAAGAGGAGCTGCAAAGCTGTAAAGACTCAGAACTGAAAGGCAGGCTGGCAGAGGTTTTGAAGATAATGCTAGACAACAGAATGAATTTTAGTCAAGAAGAACTTTCACAATGTGGTGAGAATTTACCCTCTGTGTTGTATTTTGTGAAGCACTCATCTTCGTCGACAAGTTAAGTACATTTGAAATACATGCATCCGAGAACGCGTCTTGTTCATTAATCAGACGTGCGCTCCACGCGAGGCTCAGCTAAATCTGTCAATTAAGACTATCGTACTACAGGTATCCCAAGCTCGCGAAATGAACCTCCGTAAATATGAGAATATGTTTGCGTTATGAAATGGCCGAAATAGGAGGATCATGTGGGAATAAACAGTTGCACTCTCAACCTATCAATCTGGTCTGATTTAGGGACAATTAGCTCGGTTTAGTTCGTCTGCTCTGCGACCCTTTATTCCTGTTAAATCCTTATTTTTGGCCCATTGTGTAACGTAACCATAGTGCGTAGTTACGGAGGCTTATTTTGTGAGCTCGGGCTGCCTTTGATATTGCTGTTCGTGATGACGGTTGTTTTAGTGTTATTTTTCAACTCCTATGGACACTTGTGAAATACAGAATTGAGCGATAACTTTGACCAAGATTTTTTCACACTAGTCAACTGACAAGTGGCTATTATTTTTATTTTCTAGTGAATCAATTGACGTCTACGTGGTCCTTTTCTTTAGAATCAATCCTTTCCAGCGTAGAAGAAACAATTAGCAGAAACCTGGAAGCTACAGAAGAGATAATGACTTTAGATGAGAACTCTACCGAGCTAGTCCAGCCAACGAGCGTCGACACAAAAATGAGTAATGTGGCTTTCAAAAAAGCTATGTCCCTCTTGTTTGGTGATGTCTGTCCTTTACAAGAAGGTTGTGTCCTTGGCTCTTTGATGCTGGCGCTGGCAAATCAAATGGCTTGTGGGTTAGTTTTTGTGCAATAACATTTTATTGTCTCACCTTATTACTTGCACGATTTTTTTCTGGAGCGCTGTAATTGTCTTTAGATCAAAGTCAGTATCTGAGGCACTGCGCACCCACCCCACCCCCTAACCTAACAACAGTCAACTAATGGCAAGTTCCAAGGGTTAATGGTGCATAAGGGGGGGATGTATGCAGTCACTCATATGGTGCAACTACGCACCTACCCCTCCCCCAACCTAAAATCAGTCAACTGATTACATTTTGAGGTTCATGGTGGGTAAGGGGAGGGGTAGGTTTGCAGTTGCTCAGATATTGCGACTACGCACCTACCCCTCCCCCTAACCTAAGTAAACAGTCAATTGATTCCAAGTTGGGGTAATGACAGATTAGGGGAGGGGTGGGTGTGCAGTTGCTCATTGATCCTTGTCTTTCATAAAAGATTGACCAGTTTCATCTTAATTCTGCCAGTGTCTCATTTCTTTTTCGTTTCAACTTCCTTCGATTCTTCCCTCCTACTGTCGGTTTCAATCCAAAGAATATATCTTGGAAAATATTGATGAATGAACTTTAACCAAGGCTTTACACCCATTCCTCAAGTTACCAATGAGAGGTACTCTTCTTCGAGGAAAGGTAAAACCAGGGCAGCTACTTGTTTATGCAATGGAAACAAGCTTGTCATAATATTTATTCTGTGGCTATGTAGCTGAAATAGTTTCTTTACAGAACAACTTCGCTGGACAGCGGAGCCATCACAGATCAGATAGAAGCGCTTACAACATATCAATTAAAAAAGACAATTAGAGATCCAGTAATACAAGTGATATTCTGTCACTTAGGAGGTAGTCTCAGCAAGGTACGAACAATAGCAAGAGTCTCCCACACCCATCGTGATTGTTTAGTGTTAGGATTGAGCTTTGTGTTAAACACAAGTCACAAACACGAGCTGATTTGTTTTGTTTTGTTTTGTTTTTTGAAATATTATCTTAACCCTTAAGATATTAGGGACAAGTCGTTATTTTTCGCCCCGGGGGGGGGGGAAGGGGATTTTGGAGGGATTATATGGTTTTCAGTGGGGACGGAGGGGATCAGTCGTCGCTAACAAAGAAGGGAGGACTGTAGAAAACTGACTCTCTATGAGGAAGGATCATTAGAATACTACAGAGCCTTAGGGAGGGATCAGGTACATTTTATTGTGAAATTCCCCCACCCCCTCCCCCGCCTCTTCCCGGCTATATATAATGAACGGTTCCAAGACTGCTTTTTTACTGGCATTGCAGGGCAACGACTTAAACTCGCACTTCTTATCCATCTTCCGACCAGTGGAGTCTGAGATACTCACTGAGTGCCTACTGTTGGAGAGTCGTAAGCTTTGGGCGCAGAGTAATCAAGGCAAAGAGTCAAATGTTTTCTCTGTTTTGGGTGGAGCACCAAATCTTTTGGATTGTGTTTCATCACGGAAGTTGGTTGAAGAGGGACATGGCAGTTCTCTTACTTCTTTGACAATTCAAAACTATCATGAGAACCTCAAACAGTTGGAAATATTGTCTACACACTTTTGGGTCAACGGCGACGTCCTTGATTCCCAGAATGAAGTGGATCGGTAAGTACCTTAAGGGTGGGATCTTTCTTGTGTACATTCCTATTTCCATACTTTACTTTAAAAAAATGTACTTCGTTTGTTTAAATTCAATGGTCTCTCGGTGTTGGTAATGTGTTCAAGAATTATCTGGAGGTCAAGGGTAGATTGTACATTTTTTCTCCTACTTTAGTTATGGAAATCAATGTCTTATTTCTTCACCTTAGACTTCAGTGGTACCCTATGAAATTGTGATGCAGTCTGTGTTCATGTTCATTATTTGCATTCTCTGATCATTCTGCTTTGATTTTGATTCGCTCATGGGAAGGGGGGGGGGAGGTCTTTATGCTCAGAGTGAAACTTTTTATTTTCGGTCTCAACAGCCTTTCCGCGATAGTAAAGTAAATGCTAGCTGTGTTTTATTTCTAACCTAAGATCTGCTGGTTTTCCTCCTTTCATTTGTTCATACTTCCTCAGGTGGGCACGTTATTAGATATTATTAGATATTATTAGATATTACTAGATATTGAAATGAATGAAGCGCAAAACCACTGAAGTAATTCAGTTGGACCTGAAGTTTTGCGTTACCTCGGGTGGAGACGTCTTAGAAACATTTGAAAGAAGGGTTGATGTTAAATTTACGTTGTTTCTTTCATCATTTTTCTTCTGCAGGAATTCAAGTATAAAATTGTTCATCGCCAAATTGTTTCAAGTTCTTTTGTCAATCAAAGAATCCCTCCCTCAAAGCAACCAAGTGGACATCACTAGTGTGGTCAACAGATTATTACCAAGTCTCTATGAAGGAGACGATCTTTTGCATGGCATTCACTCTATTGTAGATGCTTCGAAGAAAGTTGTGCAACATGTTGCCGATACTTACAAGCATTGCACTGGCAACGTTAAACAAGCAGATTTGATATGTAATCTTCTGACTGCGTGTCTCGAAGGAGTTTCTCGGCTTCCAGGTGAAGCTCAGGGTAAGTAGTTGTTTCATGAAGCTGTAGGTTTTTACACTGACTCGCTGTTCATTCATTTGCACACAGTTTATAACCGGATGGCATTATTAGTTCAAAAAATTTGCTCTTTAGCTGTAGAATCAAATTTAACATCAGACTGAAACTTGAACTGAGTTCAAATTGGTGTTTAAATTGAAATTTTGAATGGAGCCTTGTTTCGAATTTTCAATCCTTCGACTGTAGAGCGAGTTGAAGTCAATAGCATGGGGAACATTACAGTGATCAGCAGTGATTCTCAAACGACATATTTTCCTTTTTAGCAAATAACACAGACATGTTATGGGACTCTATTTGCCGTGGTGAAATGTGGACGAAACTTGGCTTGGTTCAGTCACTGATTCTGTCTCCCGTTGGACCAGTGGATCCTGTAGAGAAAACTAGGATTGAACTTGAGTATGTTAATAGCGAGGTAAGTGTACGTTACATGCGCGGTCGTATTTTCTCAGGTAATAGTATTTAATTTCCCTGTTTTTATCCTATCACGTAGTATTTTTTTTTAATGTGTCTGCCTCACTCTTCTTGTTTGGTAAACTAATTCTTTCAAATCTTCGAAATATATATATCTAAAATGCTTTCCTGTTCAGTTCCGTTCTTTCAATTTTTAGCAGGTTCTATTCAACGCAAGTGCATTCGGTTGTACTAATTCCTCATTCTTTTAAACAGATTCAAAGAATCGAAGAAGAATTAAAAGTGAGATATTATGCAGAGGAAATATGGACAGGAGTGAAGACTTCTGCAGATGAAATAGACGCCCTTGTTTGTGATGAACACAGGAGTGAATCGCGATTAACGTCTAATCCCTCACGGGTTGGGAGACTGTTGATAAAGTTGAAAGATCTCAGAGTCCAAGCTGAGAATCTGAGTAAGAATGCAGCTATCAGACCAGCCATCTCGCAGGTATGAAAAACGGTGTTGAAAGAATGGGCGGGAGATTTGCTTATGGTTTTCATAATGTTATTCTTGTATTCGTGCCAACTACAACAAAACTTAAATGAATGCACGAACACTTGATTGAAAAGAAATCAACCTGAGATGTGTGGCGAGGACACAGTGCAGGCAGGTTTTTGATCAACAACGTTTAGAAACTGACAATGTGATTGGCGCTAGATGAAAATAAAGTCGGTAGTCGAAAGTTCCTCTTCTCTACTTCTCTTTCGGGCTCGCCGCTTATTTTTGGGGCTCAGCTGCTAAAATCTTCCCTTAAAGGCTTTAAAAGGGGGGATGTAGTCTTAATGGTGGCTTCTATTCACATGCTTCTGTTTCACTGAAATTATAATGCAGTTTGATGCTATTCTTGATGACGTAAAACATTTCCTGCATACTATTGGCGAGACTAACTCCGTTACGGACCTAACGAACTCTATGAGAGAGCCAGCATCACAGCTGTATGGTTTATTGAAGAATGGTGTCGATGGAAACGTTTTGGCGAATTCTGTCACCACAGCTCTTCATAGGGCGAAAGCCTGGTATACATCTGTGGAAAAATTTATCCAAAGGCTCAGGAAGGACTATCCACTTTACTGTGATATACTAGGACCCTTCATTGCTGGTGTATCTCAGGTATAGTTGAAAAGAGAATGAGAATCTTTGTTTCTATAAAATTACATTTACAGTCTTTTGATCATTGTGTGAGTATGGCAAGTGGTACGTCGGAGAACAGTGGCCTCATGGTTGCCATGCAGAACTCTGAATGAAAGTTTGAGTTTCAGCCCTACCCTGGTTTACTTTGTGTGTTCTTTGATTGGGAGACTATCATAATTACCTAGCTTACCTGCCCTACCCTACCCTATCCTACCCTACCCTGTCCTGCCTACCCTACCCTACCCTACCCTACCCTACCCTACCCTGTCCTGCCTACCCCACCCTACCCTACCCTCTCCTGCCTACCCTACCCTACCCTGTCCTTCCTACCCTACCCAACCCTACCCTGCCCGACCCTACCCTACTCTGCTCTGCCTTACCATACCCTACTCTGCTCTGCCTTACCATACCCTACCCCTACATTTCTCCACCCAGAAGTATATTCGACGCTTGTGAATTAGAGTCAACTCTCTCGTAAGCGGACCCTCGGGAATTAGAAAAAGTGTCCGTCAGTAGAACTGTCCGCCTTTGAGAATCGTTCCCACAAGTGGACATCAAAGAAAAATAGGGTGGATGTCCACTTAAAGGACTCTTCTTAATGTCAAACCGAACAGACACTACTTTCCTGCAGACAAATGGAGATTTGACAAAACCGAGCCCCACTGGTCTGTTACTCAATCACTGGTCAAACTTCAGTAGATTTTTCAAATTCGAGACAAATTCTATTTCCAGGGGTCGGTTATTATCCATGGGGTGTCCTCTTACAAGAGAGAGTGTAAACAAAAGAAAAACCCAACATTTACTTTATAAAGTGTCTGCTTACCAGAGAGACTGTCTGTAAATGCAGAGTTTGACTGGGAGGCAACAAGGGGAATTGAAAAAAGTGTCTGTTAGTTGAACTGTTTGCTTACGTGGGCGTTCATTAGCGGAGACGTGGTTCTATCAAGGAAATCCAATGAAATGCAGGGGGAGTAAATTGCATTGAGTCAGTGTTCCATCCAGGGACATTACCCCTGCTCTTGGGAAAAAGCTGGGGTACTTTGAGTTACACTTGACTCATATGCAGAGTTTCACTTTCTGTGAAGGATTACTTCTCTTCTTAATTATGGTGTTATGATCAATCTAGGTCATGTATGGTGTGTCCCTGATGTCCTCAAACTTATCAACATTGTTTCAACACCACTTATTTCGGGCTCAGTTTACAATGAGTACAAATATGCAGGTAAGTTCTGTCTGTCAGTCTTCATGTTGACTCACCGAAAATGGTTTTAGCTAACCAAAGCCACCAGTTTTATTTCTTCATCTAAAATTGAAGACATATTCCCCCAGCTCTTCACAGATACATCGTTTGTTGTCAAACTTCTCTCTTCTCTCCCTTTTTTGTGTAAATGGCATATTACTAGCATGTTTATTAAAGGTGCACAGATTGGAGAAGACTAAAACGGTTTGCAAATAGATATTGCTTGGTGTAACTGAAAAAAAGATCAGATCCTATTTGTTGTGTTATTTCAGTTGCTCTGAATAAAGAGTCGAGGTGATTTCAACCAGAGGCCTAAAAAAAGCACTAGGTAGCCCTTCCACTACACAAAAGGTTTGACATCGGATAATGATAGGCTGATACCTAGAGAGGATCGTTACTTCAGTCAAAGATACAAATTGTGTGTCAGTGACTTGCTACACTCTAATTTTCTGGGGGGGGGTGGGGTTTCTTTTGGAATTCCTGTGTTCAGGAACGTCGTCGCAATTTTTCCGGAATTGCCCAACCAGTCTGACAAAACTGAACTATTTGGGAAGTCAAACCCTGTAAGGGTTATCAATTAGCGGTGATATTGGGTATTAGCCTATCGTGATCTGGTCTCAACCATATACGTCGTGGGAGTGCTAAAAGGTCGATTTTTCGCTTGCTTCTCCTCGACTAAAAATTGTCCGTGCCTGATAAGCAAGACACCATCCCTCGTCGTTACGTGGTTACGATTTGCCAATGTAAGACCTTTCTGTACCCGTTTAAGGTTCAAAGTTAACACCTGTTTAATAAGAAAGGAATCTAAGCAATGATAAAAGTAGTAAAAAGGACAGCAGTTTTCCTTCCTTTTTATTCAATCTTAGCAGTGCAGTGGACCGGATGCCCTCTTGTCTTTTTGTGAGTTTCCAGCGTCAAGTTCCTTATCCTGTTTGGATGCTGCAGTTTCTTTAATGTCCCCTTCTGTTGATGCTTGCATTCAAGGTAAAGTGTTGTTGGTGCTACGTTTTTTTCAATCAAGCTTAAAGTGTCTGGATCGTCAGCCGATGGCAGTTATAAAATTAAGGAAGGCTTTTGTTTGAAGTTGTTTGATTTATAGGAAATGAAATATTTTCTTTTGGTTACAGGTTTGGTGAAATATCTTCAAGATCGTGAAACAGCGGCTCCCACATCTGCATTTCTTTCCTACAGGTACTGTCGGTTAACCATTTACACCCTTATAAGGGAATCCTTGTTTACAATATTTGCCTCATTAGCATAAGCAATTCAGTTTCTGATGGAGCTAAAAATAAATCAGTTCCGAATAACGAAAGGTCAAAGTACGATTAACTCAGCGAATGAATACGAGCCTGATGCATTGAATACTTTTTGTGCAACACGGGTTTAAAAACTCAAAATTTTACATAGAATGTATGAGCTCATTAGCGTTTCTCCTTGAATATTACACCCAAAGAGCTAAAAATTTCACCATGTACTAAGGTTTTCTAGCTCTTTAGCTGCCTGAAGTCAATTTGTATCTAACATGCTTCCTTCTTTACGCAAAGCCGTAAGCAAATGAGCAAAAATGTAAACAATGACGTCAGCATGAATCCGCCTATATCAATATGCATGTAAAACTCACTACGGAGAATATTAAATAAAAAATACACTGATATGAATTTACCTGTCACAGGGTTTTACAGTTATCGGTTCTCCATCTTCGCAACCACTCCATCCAACATGGCTTTCTCGATGGAAAACTTTACCGAGCAGTGGTTTCAATTCTGGAGATTTTCATGAACAAGTGGAAAATCTTCAAAGAGGAAGAACGGCAGCGAGAAGATGAGGAAGGAAGTTTGTTTAAATTCAAGAACAAAACACACGGCGTTAGTCTTAGTGAGGACGAAGAGAATAAATTAGCCTTAAACAAGGCGTTTCCACGTTTCGATGATGATTTCAAAGATGTTATGGCTCCCCAGGATTTGAACGAGAATATTTCTGTCCCTCAAGATGAGGATCTTTCATCTTCATGTGTAGTTAAGTCGGATGCTGAACTGTTTATGGAGAACATTCCTAATTTCTCAGAAGTCAAGATGCTGCATGAAGAGACGTTTTGTCGGCTTCGACCCAGTCAAGATTTCCCTTTGGTTGAAGCAGACTGTTACCGGCCAAATGAGTCCATAGAGTCGCTGTATTTGGACGCCTTTAACTGGGGTTATGAAACAGCATCAGTGATGAATGCTATTATACCATGTAAGGAACCAATTAAAAACAGGGAATCTGATATATTTTGTGAATTATATTGAATTTGTACTCAATTTGCCTTGAGACTATTTTCATTGTGAGTTAGAAAATCTGCGTTTAGCTTTTAAAATGCCGGTTTAGTTCACAATCGGGTATTGCTCATACTTCTGAAAATGTACTATTTGTCCTCTGTTTTACGTTGACTTTTGTACAGTTAAATTTGTTTTTGGGCATATGAAGTAACAAGGGATGTGTTATCTTGCTGTAGGGTTACGTTGACTTTTGTAAAGTTAAATTTGTTTTTGGGCATATGAAGTAACAAGGGATGTGTTATCTTGCTGTAGGGTTACAAGCGGACAGGAACATTCCTCGACCACATCTCTTGCAAAGTTCCATTTTGAAAGGCCACTTCCAGCCAGAGAGCACAGTGAAGGTAGGATGTTACATTTAGAGAGCAATATCCAATTTAGTGTTGAAAGTAATTGTGGATTGCATTAGTTTTTCTTTACGTGTCGCTGTTGAACACATCAAATGTAAAAGTTTTTAAGAAATGGTCTAGAGTAGCAAGCTCCACACATCATTAAAATTGTGTACATCCTCTGTTCTCAACGGTAATATTATCTTATTCCACAGCAAGATATGCCATACCAGAAAGGTTTGGCAGACAAGAAACCTTTCGATATCTACCATGACTCTAAAGTTCAAGAAGTTGTGAGAGTGAAACCAGTTCTTGAGGATTTCGCTGACCGTATTCACGAGCTGTTGGCAGAATGGCCTCGGCATCCTGCTCTAATGCAGGTGAGACCTCTTTACTTGTTTGTGTTGAGATATAACCACAAACACAAGGAATGGTGTCCCATTACATTTCTAAACATTAAGAAAGGAGTGGAACATTTGACATGAAGTGACTTTTTTCCAGAGTTGTTTGAAACATTATAAATTTGTTGTCTTATCCAAAGGAACATCTTTTAATTTGATTCCCACAAAGGGTAAATTTGTAAAATGTCCAGTCTTCTAGTTAGTCACTCCAAATTTGATTTTTATGAAAGAGTGAATGAGTTAGAAGTCCCGCATGTATTTCGGTGGGTGTCAAATTGCACATATACATGTAGTTTAAGGTTTAATTCAAAACGATGAGTATCTTGAATTATTAGTAATGAATCTCCTTGCTGTTAGTCAGCGTCAGCAGTCTTGAGACTGATCAAAAGCATTTATGTCTTCTCGATGGTGGTCAATATTGTCCTAACTTATCAACTCTGTATTTTCCTTTTGCGGCCTTGTAGTCTATTGCAGTTTGTATGATATGCTGAATTTTTATACATTAGACTCGCTATGAAACATCTGATTGGTCGAGAGCATTCATTCAATATACGGTTACATGTGATAACCCAATATCTGCTGCAGATAACTCAGGCCTCGGTTTTGTTTTTTCACGACATCATACTCACTTCATCCTTTATATATCTTATTAACCAAACGCGTGGGCCGTACTGGGAGAATATCGGCCCGAGGTCTTGACAGTACGAACCGAGCGCAGCGAGGTCCGTACAAAAAAGACCGAGGGCCGATATTCTTCCAGTACGGTCCCGAGCAAGCTTGGTTAATAAGAGATTTATTATACGACTGAAGTTCAAAGGGACACAAGTGCGGTATCTTTCGGGACCATTCGGGACAGTGCCCGGTCCAATACTGAGAGAATATTGACCGGCAATAGAGTATTTTGATTGGTTGACTTTAGTTATTGGCCCTCTGACTACCCGAGTCGTGTAATAAAATTGCTTATTAAACAGGCATTCTGATTGGGAGAGAGATGCACAGCAACTTGGAATTTATTTGTCAGAATTTGCGATGATGTACGGAAAAAGAGCAGATTTTTAGGTCGACTTTCCGTCAACATACGAAATGAATAAATGCCTCTTGTTAGGACAGAAATAGTATAATTTTGAAATGTTTGTTCTGTTTCAGCTTCTGGTTGTGATACAAAGAATTTTGTCTTTTCCTGTTACAAGTCCAGTAATGAAGATTCTTACCGGTCTTGAAGTTTTACTCAGGAAAGCTCAGGTAAGAAGTTGGGTAGTTGCAGTTATTACAAATTAGTGCACCTGCAATCAAACACTTCCTGTGGTCCGGTTTTGTGAAGTTTTATTGAACATCAGCGGCGCAAAGCCCGCCTTTACAACGGTCTCGTTAAGTCAGGAACACTTATGGTGGCGCATTGATGAAGATGGCTGGTCTCCACAAGGGCCTTGCAAATAATAAAACAGCGCAATAATGTTGTCCTACGTGAAGGGAAAGATAACCAAAAGATCAGGTGTTAAAAAATGACAGCATAGTGATGACAGTAATAATTACATCGTAGCCATCGCTACGGCGTGTTTTCTTTTGAGATTCAGTGTTGCTGCCCTGTCCGTTTCCATGGTATCAGGACTGAGAGGCTGGGTGTGAGGGCCGTGATTTAACCCTCTCACTCCAAAGATCTCATTAGTAATTCTCCTTACTGTCTGCCATACAGTTGTTAGAATTTTAGTTCTGAGAATTAGGTATTGGATCATCTTATCCTCTCATTGATATTTTGATATTTTTCCTATTCTCATCACTTGTCTCCTTGATATTGTACTGATATTGTAAGGAGAAAATCTGTTTTGGTCACTCATGGGATTTTGTTTGTTGGTAGGACTGGGAATCAAATGCAGCCAAACATGTAAGCCTCAGAGACCATTTGGATAATGTAACGCAACTCATAATTCAGTGGAGAAAAATGGAGCTCAAGTAGGTGGTTACATTTGTTCATACCCTTTTGATAAGCCGTACATACAACTTTTAATGGGTATTCCTAAAGATTGACGAGATTTTTCTCCGACTTGACTCAAGAAAACTGGCGGTAGTGATTAACTGATCTTATTTTACCCATATTTAATTAACTACGTTCGGTGCCGTACAGTTAATTTTCCGACATTTTGGTGAACATACTTTCCCCACAATCGTATATTATGATCAGGTTAAAGCGAAGTATTGTATGTAAGTCTAGTCTGTTAAATATATTCTCTCTTGTTCTGCTGCAGGTGCTGGTCAACACTTCTAGATGTAACCACCGTAAATTCAGCAGCAAAAGCCAGTCAATGGTGGTTTCACATATATAGTTCTTTGGTACAGTCGAGGACGATTGAAAAAGCTCAGGAACATAGAGGTAAACTGTGCTGGTTCGTTGTTATTGTATAAACAGTTGCTTGGGACGCAGTACCCTTGGAGTGTTGCACTTGGCTGTTGTCAGAGTGTGATGATATCATGTAAACTTGTGGTCACGAGAAGGGGTTGGGTCTGATAAACAAACATTCCAAGGTATCCGCTGAGCAATGAGAGCACTTGCATTTTATGGTCGCCTTAGTCAACTTATATTCTTTATTAGTATATACTAAAACAGTGGATAGGTTGAAGGCGCGCTCTGATTGGTTAGTCAAACTCCGAATATCCTTTGCTATTTACCTCCGAGAAACTCGGGAAAAAATGGCGTCCCGGTTTGCATCCGTGACAAGCGAAGAAATCACTCAAATTAACGACGGTGGTGTAAATTACCTCACTGTTTTAGTAGATACTAAAACAACTATTCACCTCAGTGTCGGTGGTTAGCGGTGGATATTTACCTCGCCGCTTTGCGGCTCGGTAAATA